CATACGTTGTTTAGGCTTGATGAGGGGACGGTTCTGGCCGTTCATCTTGTAGTAGAGACCGCAGGCGTTGCACAAGTAGTGACCGTTGCCGTCGCGTCGCCACAGCGGCGTCGACGTGGCTCCGCAGTTGACGCACTCGCGGCCCTCTGCCGGAACACACCGCATGCGGCAGAGTCAGTGAAACGTCATCTAAAATGTGTAAATGTGATTGATAATCTATAGCAATTCACTAGATGGGTTGAGAGGACCCCTTATTCTCAGAGAAGAGAATATAAGGCATCCATGGGGAGCCTTGTGAAAGCTCACGTGTCGTCTGTATATACAACCTGCTCTCGCACAAGACAGCACATATATGACTTATTGATTATAGTCACTAATTCGCTTATAAATAAGTACATATGTGACATATTCCAATGTTCCCAATGTAATTTAAAAGTGATTTTGAACTTTTGAAGTCTTGAACAAAAATATTATTTACCATATTAACAGCATTTGTAGTACAAATGTTGCTAATTTGTACAACAAATGTACCTTGTAATTTGTACTATAACTTGCCAAAAGCTTAAGATAACCATGTAAGCACTTGGGAAATTATTGTGTTCCTGTTTTGTTGATCATAATACGTGCTGGAGTTAATGATATCATGTGATGATAGGTGCAGCCAAGTGATGGATGCATTCACGAGTTGAATGCAGTCACATGATGGATGCAGTAACGAGAGGGAGGCACTCAAGCAGTTCATGCATCATATGATAGATTCAATCACGTTATGGGTGTGAGTTCCTGAATGGCTGAAGCCAGAAGTGACTTAAATGAGGTAGGAGACATAAATGATTACCACAGAATGGAAGGTACAATCACACGGGTTAATTTACATCATAATGGCATCAGTCAACATTATTGACATAATGAGCAACTATTAGCAGCAACTAGAGGACCCGAGTTCGTGGCTTCCCGCTTGTTGGAGCTAATTGCACGAGGAACGATGAATTGGTCGAGGCGAGGAGGAGGAGGAGGAGTAAGGAATGATGAGTTGAGTCAGGCAAGGAGCCATGAGTTGAGCTAGGCATGGGGAAGCAAGGAGCGGTGATTTGAGCAAGACATAGGCAGCGATAAGTTGAGGAAGGCTGAGTGGGAGCACATAATAGTGAGTTGAGCGAGGCAAGTGGAAGCAGGACGCAACCAGTTGAGGAAGACATGGGAAAGCAAGCAGAGTTGAGTTGACCAAGACAATGGAGGAACAAGGAACGGTGAGTTAAGCAAGGCAAGTCAAGGAACCCGTTGCAGGAACATTGAACTATACATGAGAAGGATATGAATAACAAACAGGATAAAAAACAGGATATATTGAAGGAAGGAAGATGGAAATGAGAGAGGGGAAAAAGGAAGGTTATGGGAGGTAAATTGGGTTGGAGAAGGAAGGTTAAGGGCAAAGGGATTATAGAGGTAAATCAGGTATGTAATCAAATAGGTACAACAAGGCTCGTGGATAGGGGGGTGAAGAGCTAGACCTCACGACCCCAGTCACTGATAGGTAGGCACTCATAGGTTGACACTGATTGATTAGCACTGACGGTAAAGAGTAAATAACAATTCTCTTCGTGTCCTGACATGGCACAGTGATTTAACTGTTTCAATTAACTATACAGTTATAGTTCGCGTTTTTAGCTGTGTGGAGTCTGCCACCTACATGGTGGAGTGTGCCACCTACATGGTGGAGTCTGCCACCTACATGGTGGAGTGTGCCACCTACATGGTGGAGTCTGGCACCTACATGGTGGAGTGTGCCACCTACATGGTGGAGTCTGCCACCTGCATGGTGGAGTCTGCCACCTACATGGTGGAGTCTGCCACCTGCATGGTGGAGTCTGCCACCTGCATGGTGGAGTCTGCCACCTGCATGGTGGAGTCTGCCACCTACATGGTGGAGTCTGCCACCTACATGGTGGAGTCTGCCACCTACATGGTGGAGTCTGCCACCTACATGGTGGAGTCTGCCACCTACATGGTGGAGTCTGCCACCTACATGGTGGAGTCTGCCACCTACATGGTGGAGTCTGCCACCTACATGGTGGAGTCTGCCACCTACATGGTGGAGTCTGCCATCTGCATGGTGGCGTCTGCCACCTACATGGTGGAGTCTGCCACCTGCATGGTGGAGTCTGCCACCTACATGGTGATTTCTTTATCACCCTTGTGATAAAGAAAGTTTCCTAGCAATTACGGTGGAAGTGACGTAAGCTTTGACCAATATAAGCAGCATCATAAGCATCTATAATAATCATTTACTAACGTCGCTGAAAACACCTTTTAAAGTAAATGATTTTGTGAACAAATAATTGAATTGAAATAATGATATTTCGCATTTTCGAAAATTACGTTATTTTTTCAAGAAGGTAAAATAAATAAAAAAGACATTTATTATATAAACAGTATTTTTAACATGTGTTAATACCAAAACACAGTTAAGATAACACGTGACCCCCGAATATATTTTTGGTCAGTACCACTAAGCGCTGATATGAACGATAATCACATCTTTTACGGCTGCTTAACCTGTATTTATTTAGTATTCAATGACATTAACATCAATCAGATGGGAGCATTCAGAATTCTTCGTTTACTCATTACTTCGTTCAACATTACCGAGTGTGATCGTCGGTGGTTAGTTCGGTGATTGGTTGAAGGGTTACCAACCTCTGGAGGGTTATGTAGTTCGCGGCACTAGCTTGCTAAACATTGTTCAGGACTAAATTAAACTCTCGGTTCGTATACTCCGAGACACAGGGTACACCAGTCAGTGGATACTGTGTTTCCCTCGTTGTGTTGGCATTTTCATTTAATTTCTTTATTATGCACCCTATACCCATCCCGTGGGTGGTGATGTATAGGGTTACAGAGGCACATAATCGGTTCAGGCAGTGACGCAGTTTTTCCATTGGACAACCTGTCCTCAGGCCAGGCTCGTTAAGGCTGCAGCCGTCCCCCCCCCCCCCCAAGAAGCATTCATCAATTTTTACGTATTTTGTATTAATAATAGGTTTGCTGTCATATATAAATTAATATTACTATATATTAAAGTTCTTGGTATAGTCAGACGTAGGTTTGGTTAGGTGTTTAGGTTCTGTTGGCGATTATTTGTGTTTGTAGTACGTGGGTGAAGCGTTTATAAGAGATATAACTCGAGCTGAGGTCGTCAGCGAATCACGGTTCGAGACATGTTCGAACGTCATCAATTGTGTCGTGTTTACAGCATTTTTCATTCACGCGCAGCGGGTTTGGCGGCTGCATGTAATCACTTTTGGCCTTTGTTGATGAGAACAGCCAACTGAGCTAACTTGTTAAAAATGAAACACACTTTACACACTTGAATAACTAGTGATTACGTTCTAACTTTTCTTGAACAATGCTTCACTTTCATCATGTGTCAGCCCGTCCTCCAAACAAAGATCCAAAAGTGATTCCATGCACCCGCCAAACCCCCTGTTTATGAATGAAAAACGGTTTACACACGACTCACAACTGCTGACATTCGAACATATCCGGAACAAGTGCTTCACTGACGAATTTTGTTTGAATCACAACGCTATAAATGCTTCACCCACGTACTACAAATACAAATAATCGCCAACAGAACCTAAACACCTAACCTAACCTATCCTATGCCTATATATGCACAATATGCTAATATATTATAATATTCATTTATACTTGAGAAAATTCCCGTTTTGAGTGAACAGCATGTTAAAATTTATGAATGCGTCTGTGGGGTTGACCGCTGAATGTAATGGACTTGAGTCGAGGACGGGTGGCATGTGTTTGAATCGCACCTCTCAAAAGGTTTCACTCACATATTGATAACGGCGACTCTTGTTGATCCTTGACGAGGAGTGCACGATTGGGCACCTGTTGAGTGTGGGGTCCGCCGGATTTACGTGACGCGATTTTACCCATTGGGCCTCAATACTGCCGTCTAGCATTCCTATTCAACGGTCCGGATTGAGAAAATGACTGGAGTCACAGGTAAGTTGATGAATTGTTAACGTTTTCTGGTTGGTTCTTCGGGCGGGGAGGCGTACTGAGTCGGGCGCTGACTTGGCTCAGAGGTGGTGGGAGCAAGTTGGTCTTGGTGAGCTCTTGGTGTGCCCTCAGGGTGTGCTGGGCGGCTGGCTCCTGCTTTACCGAAGGACAGCGGAAGACATTTTTGTGTTTTTTACCCATTTTAGTTTTTTGAAGGTCCGTGCTTGTTTCCTAGACCACTCAGTGTACTCTATGGGGTAGGGGCTGGTGCTTGTCTCCCTGAAGGACTCGTGAGGCTCCCAAAACGTCTTTCGGAGTATTTAAAAAGTTTTTTATAAATTTTGCCCCGAGGGACGAGTTTATTGGGCAGCGCCACTCATCCTATGAGTGGACACACCGCCATAGCAGCATGTATAACACACTCCAATAGGAAGCAAACCCGCTGGGTTTTCCTCTAGTATGTATTAGCCGTTAGGCGCGTTCGCTGAGAAAGTTCATGTATAGAGTATACTCCTGTATGACCCTGCACACTGAGCCTGTGGATGCGTACCTCGCCTCGTCCAGTTAGCAACCAAACCTGCCTGGATAAAAACAACCAAACCTGCCTGGATAAACAACCAAACCTGCCTGGATAAACAACCAAACCTGCCTGGATAAACAACCAAACCTGCCTGGATAAACAAGCGCTCGAATGAAACACAACTGAAAACAAAACACGGGCCAATGACATTTTATCTAAAGTACCTCTTCCCGTATAATTAAACAACCCCCCTCGTTCCCTATTCTGCCGAGCGCATTGACCACCCAATTCAGCTCATATTGGCGCCATTATTACCAAAACTGTCTCCCATACAGATTTTTCTAAATATAAAGTGATGGAAATCGGGGGAAATAAAAACAGTAATATATTACCAGTAATGGGGAAAAAAATATATTATTTTGTCCGTGTGTGCGGCGGGACACAGCTTGATAAGAGATATTTTGAATGAGCGAACTTCGTCATAATAATAATTGGTGGAAACTTTGAACTGGCGTGACAGTAGTGGAGAAGGGTGGATAAAACTATTAATGATCAGTAGGCCTAATTTGCAAATAGGCTTCGTAGCCTTTGTTCTCGTATTAAGGG